ATTGTAAAATTGTATATAGGTCCTTGAACCTGCAGGTAAAGAGAAAATGCCCACTGTCCAGTGAAATGCAAAGGGTACTGGGTAATGGTGAATAAGAACACTACCAAGATTTGTGAACAATTGGTAAAAGCTAGTAATGTGGGTCAATTACACATCTTGTTGTTGTTGTTGTTGTTAAGTGCCGTCAAGTCAATTCCAACCCATAGCGACTCTGTATAGGGTTTCCAAGGAGTGACTGGTGAGCTTGAACTGCCAATCTTGGAGTTCAAATGACTTTTCAGTCTGACGCATTAGCCCACAGCGCCACACCAGGACTCTTCCAATTATACATCCTGGCACCCATAAATAGAAGGCCTGCTGGGGCAGTGGTTAAGTACTCTGCTGCTACTGAAAGGTTGGTGGTTCAAACTCACCAATCACTCTGCGGGATAAAGGTTCCAGTCAATTTCCATAAAGATTATTATTGTTGTTGTTAAGAGCTGTCTAGTTGGTTCTAACTCCTAGCAACCCTGTATAGGGTTTCCAAGGAGCAACTGGTAGGTTTGAACAGCCGACCTTGTGGTTCACAGCTCAGTGCAGATACAGCAGGTCTCTACATAGTGTACTTTTATGCAAATTAGAGGCATCGTGTGTGTGCATCATATGCAAAAACACAATAGCCTAAATATTCTCTGGTAAACACTGCACATTTAAGATAAGAAAAATAAAACTAGAATGGAAATTCTAGGGGGAAGGAAGGCAGAGTCAGAAGAATAAGTCACTTGGAAAATAGGGTGCATTACCAACCTACCAGATGGCCTTTATAGTAAAAAGGCACAGCACTTGTAAATGTATTCCACAAATATGAGGGGCTTCAAAAAGTTTGCATAGAAATTCCATTATCTTTTCATTCCATTTCCCCACAAACTTTTTACAGCCTCCGTGTGTACTGTAGACCATTAACAATTAGAGCACACTTTTCTTTAGGATGCATTCATGATTCATTCTTTGTAAATGAAACTGCACATTTTCCTTGGAGAATTTTCTAGTTAAAATTTTAAGTAAATTCCCTTTGGATAAATGAATATGTATTTCCTAATTTGCCTCATGAAAATCTAGAATTTTGCTCTAAGTAAGATTTCTTTTACTTGATTTTATTCCTAAGAAAGGAATCCACCCTGCTTTGAGTTTGGTAACCAAATGATGTGGCAGTTTTCAGTAACTGGAAAGGAAAATTTTTGATTCATATAATCTATGTGCCATCTCTGACTGCGGCCCCACCACTGCAGGTGAAAATTTATTTAAAAATCATAAAGATGCAAATATACATTTTTGAAGTATTGACCACCAAGAGTCACTGATGACAGATTTATTATTTTTCCCCCCTTAAAACGTTATCATATACAAGAGGAAAAATTACCACATGCAATCAACCTTGTTTTACTGTAGAATCCACCACCAGCTCTCTTGTGCAAAAGAACGCACTCTTGAATAGTTTTGGATTCAAACATTTCCCATTTCTTTCTTTTCCAGTAGTAAAAAGAGATCCACTTTAGTCACTACTAACATTCTTTCTCATCTTTATTCGTCTTGAAATAATACAAATGCCTATAAATCAAACCACATACCGTTCAACATCTGAAATCGTTTATGTCATAGATTCCAATATGTGAAGAAATAACACACAACTGATCTTTGCAAGATGGATAAAAAAATAGTATAGGCCATTTTGGAAAACAAGGATCAACAGCTATAATTTCTTATCTACGTAACTTTAAACAAGTGATTAATAAATGGATCTGCAAATAGTCTCTATCTTTTAGAATGGAAAAGAAAGTGCTCAGGTTACATTTTTAAAAATAATGAAAATCTCACAGAACTGAAATAAAGTCGGTGAAGTGATAATCAAGATCTTTACATAAAGATGGAAGCCTAGCAGACCATCTAGGACATCCTGGCTCTCCAAGACAGGGAGGTGTGTGTTGATGTATTTCAGATCATAAGGGCCCACAACTGGAAGACTGCAGACACAGAATCCTACCTTGAAATGCTACCCTAACAGGTCCTGGACAGGCCCGGATTCATCATTTTTTAGATGAAAGTCCTTAACATAAAATCTCATTTGTCAGCTAGATTGCTCGTCAGCTGACAAAGCCGGGTCCTTTGGTTTACAGGCTGTTTCTAGTCCATTACCGATATTCACCCAGGTAGGACTCAAAAAACCAAACACCTCTCTTGTGAAGGTACACTACTCTTTAGGGGCCATACACGAGCTAGTCTCAAAAACAATAAATAAATAAATAAAAATAAATGTGCCACAGTCAGAGTGAATGAGTCTTCATGCCCAACTTGTTTGGGGGCTTCAGGGAGCCACCCTCTAGGGTCAGCATGAGGGTCCTCAGACAGGGGCAACTCATCAGTTTCCTCCGAAGGAACCCCACATGGAATCTGCAGCAGTCAAGTTTTCTCTACAGTGGACACTCCACAGAGTTGTGATGGAATGATAAAAGCTGGATATAATGAAGCAGATTGCGTCAACTGCACATGTGAATGCCACGTGCTCCAAGTAGCCAGCAGAGCTACCTGATGGGAGCAATCCTAAGAGCATGCAAAAAGCCGCCCAAACTGTCTTTCAGCTGTACCCATAACTTACTGTTGAAAGTCAAAATCCATGCAGGAGGTAATTCTACTTATATTAAAATTCTGTATATGTGTGTATGCGTTATCAGTTCTCTCTTTGGATGTGGCAGGATGTCAGATCATTTTTGCTTTCTTATTTAAGCAAAACCAAACCCTCCCCAGATTCTCAAGGCATTTCCACACTAGAGTCTTCCAAATGGTCTTGGGAGGCTACTTTAAAGGACAAAATTCCAGAAGTCTGTGAGATCAATGAAGCAATATTCTAGCTGCAGTTAGTAACCAACCTGGCAGACGACAGATGTGAGTAAATACCGTTTACGTGGAGGCAGAACTACTTGGCATTTCTCTTTTTTAAAACATCACTATTTTATAATCCTTCCTTGTACTCGGACAAGCTGAAGGCTATTTTAAAATATTGCACCTAAATTTAATGCATCATGGGAAAGGCTTACAATCATGTATTTAACTGAATACAACTGTCATTAAGTGCTGTTGAATCAGTTCTGAAAGTGACCCTGTATAGGGATTCTAAGGAGCGGCGGGCGAGTTTGATCCGCCAACCTTGTGGTTCACACCGACCTTGCAATCCAATGTTTTGTTGATCTTGATCTTACAGCACCACTCTAGGACTCCACTGAATACAATAGTGGGATTCAAACTACTAAACCCTATAATTTGGCTTTAAAATAGATTAACAGAAAAATGGGCCAAAAATGGGGACTGGTAAGGGCTCAGTGGCCATACAGCTGGCAGAAGTTGGGGATCTACTGAAAGAGGGAACCCAAGAAAATATCCGTCACTGTTCTTCACCAGGCTCCTACACACCTGTCACTGCGCCTGCCTCTCTGGACATGAAGGCCTGCCTCATCTTTGACTGTGGTGGCTGGGCAGGAGACATCATCTGCTGAGTGGGCAGAGGGCCAGTCTCTGCCCCAATGACCAAGTGCAATGCCTCCTTGTCGAACTCCCAGAGCAGAGGGCAAAATGGGGATCATTTCCCTTTATGTTCTTGTACCCAAACTGCAGCCCACAGCTGTCGAGTTGGTTCCAATTTCTAGCGACCCGACAGGACAGGGTAGAAGGGCTCCCTAGGGTTTCAGAGGCTGCCGAGCTTAACGAGAGCAGATTAGCACATCTTTCTCCCTAGGCCCACCTGGTGGGTTCGCACTACAACACAGACATCAAAATGATCTCTGTACTTAATGACATGTGACTTTAGGCATTGTTACAGAAATAGTAGCTCATTTTCATCAACAACCAAAGATGAGTGTCCCGAATTCTAGGAATGGAGAATTAGTGTCTACGAGAAGCTTCAAAAAGTAGGTGGGAAAATACCATTACCTTTGAGTTCCACTTTCCCATGAACTGTCTGAAGCCCTCTGGTGTTTACATTTTATGGGGCGCATGGTGGCTCTGTATGACGAGCACTGGACTATGAACCGCAGAGTCAGTGGTTTGAGCCCACCAGCTGCTCACCAGGAGAAAGATGAGGCTTTCTGCTCCCACAAAGATGTACCGCTTTGGAAACCCTCTAGGGTTGCTATGAGTTGGAATCAACTCCATGGCACTTAACAACAACAACAACAACAACAGGGTTAAGCCAGTAGCCACCTCAAAAACAAGCAAATAAACGAATAAACAAAACCTTAATTTTTTGGAAATACAGCAAATACCATAATGCGTAACATTTTATTGTGCACACTGGGATCCTTCTGAGATAAGAAAGGAACACTAGAACAATTACTCTCAGCGAAAATCACACCAAGACCACAGACATGAACCGGGTACATAGACACCTGATGTGGATGCAATAGCTTTTTTCGTTTTTTGGTTTGTATGTGAAAGCTTCAAAAAGTTCATGGAAAAATCCTATCATCTTTTAATTCAATTTTTCACAAACTTTTTGAAGTTCTCCTGTCTGTTTTATTTATTTTTTCAAGTTCTCTATTAAGCTACATTATATTAGGCAGTACTATTGAACACTGAATAATACTACAGTTTTGCTGTCTTAGATTTTCTAAGTGATAAAACAGACTTTCAACCTTCTTCCCTGAATGAAAGATTTTCTCACTTAATGTCTTAATGTCTTAAGTTGGCCTGAGGAAAGTTCTCTAACTCCAAAAAAAAAAAAGTACAATTTGCGATTTAAATGACGTACACTTAATTCCTCGATTTACTATCCAAAATATTCATAGCAAAGGAAGTGGAGTACATCTTGCTCATAAAACCAACCCCCCAAATGATCAACCTCAATTAGGAGGCTGGGTTGTAATGTATTTTATAAATCTTTATATTAATCACAAGAGTCTCACAAGTACACTGCCACCAGCTGTTATAGAAAAGCCATCACTCGGTGACAATCACGAGGTGTGGGGGTTGGAGGGAGGCGCCGGTCAGTTTCTGTACAGCAGCATCCTCTCGGAGCAGCTCTGCCCCACCAGGCTGGCATACTGCAGAACCGCCACGTCCTCGCTGGGCGCTTTCTGCTGTTTCTTGTACACGCTGTAAGGCATGATGGCTTTCTTGTGGAACACCTGCAGCCGGTCGGGGTCCTTGCTCCGGTCTTCATCCACTGCAACAGCAAAGACAACAGTGATTTCCAGCTGGGTCACCTGTGGAGCGAAGTTTCACTTTCCCGTTTTAATAAACCATTACATGAATACAGTCATAAATTGCCATTGGAAAGACACACAATGACATATTAGCTGAGATGCCCACTTTGTGTGAAGACTTTGGACACCTCTGAAGAGACTCTGCTATTGTTGAATATGCCACAAAAATACGGCGCTGAATTCCAGCAGGAACCCACCAGGTTAGGACAAGACATAATAAACACTTCGTAAAACATTTTTGAAATAGAAATTCATTTTCTTAAATGCCCTCAGTTCTTTAATTTTTCTTTTACTACACTTTGCCCTAAATAGTACCGAACACCCTTTACTAAAAAAGGTGGGACTCAACATCGCTTAAGGAGCTCTGGTAACCAGTGCAGTAGTTACGAGTCAGGCTGCTAACCTCAAGATTAGTAGTTTGAAACTACCAGCCATTCTGTGGGAGAAAGAGGAGGCTTTCTGCTTCCGCTAAGATTTATAGCCTCGGAAACCCTGTACAGGGTCGCCACAAGTCAGAATTGACTCCAAGTCACACCACCACCACCACCACCACCATTTAGATCAGATATACAGTCCATATCCACCACCTTTCTTCACACCTAGCTGCTCCCCTGGGCTCACCATCCCAAGCACAGTGGATTCTGACATCTCACAAAATCTTGGTACCCACGTCAGATTACATCAGAGAAAAAAATTGCCTCATCACAATTCTGCAATCACTTCAAGGTTAATTTCCACATTCTCTTGGAAATGATTTCATTTAATCAGACTAGTGAGCGTTCTATGAAGTTACTGACATGTAAACAAATGAAAAATTAATTTCCTTTGTAAAAAAAAAAATAAAAGAAGCAGCAGGCGCCCTGGGGACATAATGGGTTAAGTGCTGGGCAGCTAACTAAAAGGCTGGAGGTTTGAACCCATCACTTCTCCATGGGATGTCCTTCAGGGCCACTGTGAGGGGGACCAACTCGATGGCAGTGGACTGCTTTCTCATAAAGTGAATGCTTCTTCACCTTCTTAAACTAAACGTCAAATCTGGAATATACACTGAGAATTCTGCCTACCCAATGAAGCCAAAGATATTCAGCCTAAACGGCAAGTGCTTTGAAAACAAGGAACGCGGCTCAATACAACCGAAGACAGATCGTAAGAGAAGCAAAGACAAGGCCCCTTACACATGTTTTAAAAACTTTTGATATTTCAACGACCTGAGGTATCTCAATGATTCTGGATGTTAATCACCAGTGTACTTAATAAACATTCAATACTAATCACAATAAAAACTTTTATTTTGTATTTTTTTAAATCCCCAAAGTAACACTTTTTGTCAATACTCAAATATAGAAATGTATGATGTCAGTACCTCCCAAAATTCTTGCTCCTCCCTTCCCCTGACATATATACATACATCTAAGAGATCAGTGTTTTAACAATTTCATAAAATGAACTTTAAAAAATACACTTAAGTATGAGTTCTGGACCACATTCTAAACATACCTTCAATCAAGGTTTAAAAATCAAACCAATCCCTCCCCTTCAGAGGGTAGAATGTGCTCATTACAGGACCACTGGTTACTGTTACAGACAAAATACATTTCAGTTTTCTGGGCTTGACATTCTGTGGTTTTGTGATCATCCACTATATTCTCAACAAAAAGCCATTTCAGATTCTTTCCATCTTCTACTTAATTAAAAGCCAATTTAAAGCCCACACAAAGAACCCCCACACAGATGGAGCACTGATTCTGACATCCACGAGTGTATTCCAAACAAAATGTGCTTAAGCATGTCTGTGACCAGTGGGAGGCTGCAGACAAATTCTGTCAGTGATGCACTCGTCTTAGTCTCATTACGGTAACTTCAATGAAGAGATCCAATGAAACCACACGCTTTCAAGGGCCTCTTCTGGGTTACTTCAATTCAAGAGAGGCCAGATCAGAAGGCTATGGTGACTGTTTTGGGGATTTCCTGGCCTGGTGCTGTAGGATAAGCACTAGGCTGCTAACTGAAAGATTGGTGGTTCAAACCAAGCAGCCACTCTTGGAAACCTTATACAGGGTCACTACGAGTTGGAACTGATTTGACAGCACATAACAATCTTGATAAATATTTTCAAAGAAAACAGGATGATCACAGGGGCTTATTATAAGGAAGGTTCTCTAAATCAAAAACTGCATTAATGAGCAGGCAGCCAGGAAATGCACCAAGGAATGTTTTCCCATCATGACAAAGCACCTGCTCGTTCCTTGGAGAGTAGCAAGGCCTGCCCCCTGACCATTTCACTGGCCCAGCTTACCTATCTACTTTACAGTCCTGACCTGGCCCTTCCAGACTTCTTTTTTATCCCGAGACTCAGAGAACACTTCAGAGGAACGATTTGAGTCCCTCAAGGTTCCCCAAACTGCTGGTTTGCCGTGATATAAACTGAAGAGAGCAGAATTCTTTGGGGGAAGGGTTGTTATTGTTGTTCAGTGCAGTTGAATAGGTTCCAATTGCTAGCGACCCTCAATAGGGTTTCTGAAGAGCAGCTGGTGGGTTTGAACTGCCCACCTTGTGGTTAACAGTCCAGTGCTGATCCTACAGCACCGTAACAGGCTTGGGGAAGGGTTAGAGAGAGGGAAACACTGCTTCTAGACGTGTCTAGACCTTGCTGGAGAACATGTTGAGAAACAGTAACTTCATATTTTGATATTTTTGTTGAACAAACATTTCTAGGATTCTGTAGCACTACTTTTACTTTTAAGGAGCTCTGGTAACGTAGTGGTTACGAATCGGGCTGCAAACCTCGAGGTCAGCAGTTTGAAACTACCAGCTGTTCCACAGGGGAAAGATGAGGCCCTCTGCTCCCGTAAAGATTTACAGCCCCGGAAGCCCTGTACAGGGTCGCTGTGAGTCAGAACCGACTCCACAGCACATAACCACCACCACCATTTTTACTTAGCCTCCTATGTTTAGAACAACGACCAAACAGACAAAAAGAGTGGCTACTGAGACAGCTTACGTACAAACACAACCAAATCCCATGGTGTTTCGTCACTGGTTTGGTGATTCAGGCTCGTGGTTTCGTGGGTATCCAAGTAAACTGGCCTAAAAGCATGTTTGTTGTTCTTGTTAGGAGCCATCGAGTCAGTGCTGACTCATAGTGAATTACACACAACAGAACAAAACCCGGCCTGGGCCTGGGCCATTCATTATTCAAGCCATCTCATTGGAGGTTTAGTGCTTCTGCTTTATTACCTTCTAGCTGCGTAGTGCCCGGGGCCTTAAAATCATGCAAGTGGCCATAAAAGCACAACTGGTCACTATTCGTCTGGGGCAAGATAGGAAAGAGGAGACTCAGGACTAAGAGGAGGACATAGAATGTGGCTAACTGCCTCCATGAACAACTGCGCCATATGCCATGAGACTCGAAGAACTGGATGGCGCCTATCTGCCACTATGGAATCGTTTGATCAAAGATTCTATAGAAGAATCCTGATCAAAAGGGCGGAAAAGCAGAACAGAATTTCATATTCTCATGGACTCCAGATTTCACAGAGCCATGAAGGTCTCGGACGAGCTCCTGAAACTATTGCCCTGAGTAAGCCCTCTAACCCTAAACCCAAAGTATCCACAGAGGTCTTCTTAAAACCAAACAGTAGTTTAGCTAAACTAGTAAAAAACAAAAAAAAACAAGAAGAAACAGACTTGATGGCGCCTAACAACTTGTTGTTGTTGGCACCAAACAACTTCACACATATTAAATAAATAAAACCTATACAAACTAACCAAAATCCTACCAGATACCTAAGGAGCCTGGTGGCCCCATGATTAAGTACAGGGTGGGTAGTTAACTGAAAGTGAGTGGAACCTACCAGGTGCTCTGCGGGAGAAAAGACCTGGCTATCTGCTCCTGTCCTGTGAAAAGGAAACCCTATGGGACAATTCTATCCTGGCCTATGGGTTGTTGTTGTGAAGTGCCATCAAGTCGATTCCGACCCATAGCGACCCTGTATAGGGTTTCCAAGGAGCAGCTGGTGAGCTTAAACTGCTGACCTTGCAGTTCAAACAGCTTAGCAGTCTGGCGCATTAACTCACAATGCCACACCTGTGGATAGCTGAATCCAAATTGATGCGGCGGCATAAAAGAACCACCAGATACTTAAAATAGTTCTTATCACTAATTTATTTACTACACCAAAAAAAACACCAAAAAACAATAGAAATCCACTGCCAACTCAGAATGACCCACATAAGGGTTTCTGAAACTGTAAATCTTTTTGGAAGCAACAGCCTCATCTTTCTCCTATGTGTGGCTGGTGGGTTTGAACCGCTGATCTTGTGGTTATCAGCCCAACACCTAATCCACAGTGTCACTTGTGGTTAGGTGCCATCAAGTCGGTACCGACTCATAGCAACCTTATGCACAGCAGAACGAAACACTGCCCAATCCTGGGCCAACCTCACTACTGTTGCCACGCTTGAGTCCATCGATGCTGCTACTTGGC